GTATCGTAAAGGTTCAGCGAATGGTAACGCCGATTTTCGTTCGCGGATGCCTTTGCCGGCACAAGACACGGACAAGACTGGCCAGGATTGCATTGATGGTGTTGACCACGCGGGTGTGTTTCTCATTCGAGCTTGCGGGCTTCACTACCACTCGTCCTCCACGCCGGACGTCGATTTGGGTGGGCTCACCCCTCCTTGCTCTGCCGGAGTCTTCTCGCCCCGACCACTACAGCGTTCCGACTTTGGAGACTTCCGTCGACACGCCCCACGGATGATGGACGTCTCACCACCTTCGTCGTCTACTTGCACGGATCATCAGCGACCTTCGGGAGTCTTCGCAGTTTCCGGACTTGCCGGCTCTGCCCCGCGGCTGCCCTCTGTCGCATCTCGTTTGGTGCCCTCTGTTGCATCCTCAGCGAACAAATATGTGCACGTCTTGTCCTCGCTTCCGGAGCGTGGACCACTCATCTCCTCACGGACTCGGGCCAAGACTACCACTGCTTCCGGTGGTACCGTCACCGGCCCAGCTTACTTCGGACGTCAACCGCGGGTTACCATCGTTCTTCGAACGCCGTCGCCTGTCCGTCGCTCTAACAGGTCTCGTACAAAAACCAAGACCATCCGGGTCACCGCGCATTCGCCGCGTCCATCCGCGACGCTCGCGTCGGCATCTTCGTCGACTGTTTCCGCGCCACCGGCACCTTCGTCATCATCACCGTCTTCAGCGTGCTCTGTTTCGCCGGTTTCGCCTTCTTCACAGGTGTCACCCACGTTTTCGTCTCCCGCGGCACCGTCGTCGCGCGTGGAGGTTGCGGCTGCTTCTGCAGCCGACAGATCATCTTCCGCCGCTCCTTCCGCCGGATCGCCTGATTCTCTTTTGGAATCACTCGCCTTAGACACTGCTCATCTGCGGGACTGCGTCCAGAGTTTTAGAGCTGTGGATTGGGCTCGGGAACAACAACAGGAAAGCGAATGTGTGGCGGCCATGCGTTTTCTTTCCCGTGGCTCTCCCTCCCCACCCCCGGCTGATTTGCTGACCCTCGCTGTCCCACTTCGTTCTCCCCGATTAGACGACGTGTTGGCGCTGGCGGCGAAGACCAGGTGAAAGCGAATGTGTGGCGGCCATGCGTTTTCTTTCCCGTGGCTCTCCCTCCCCACCTTCCCCTCATTTGCTGACCCTCGATGCCCCGCCTCGTTCTCCCCGATTAGACGACCTGTTGGCGCTGGCGGCGAAGACCAGGTTGCACACGACCGACGACAACGTCACTCTTCTCGTGCACAAATCAGCGCCGTCGCCGGTTGGACGCTCTGGGGGTAGGACCACTCGCTTGCCGAATACTGGAGTCCCTCGTGTATACGTGCCGATGCTCATGCGTCCGTGGGTTTTGCGTGCTTGCCATACCCACGCGTTCTTCCATTTGGGTGTTCACCGTACACAGCGGCTGCTCGAACGTTTTTACTGGTGGATTGGTGTGGATCGCTCCGTGCGCTGGTGGCTCCGATCGTGTCTGGTGTGTCAAGCCCGCAAGACTTCACGCCAAACTGCTCGGTGGCCCATCATCGCTATGCCGCTGCCGCAAGGGCCTGGAACTGTCGTCGGCGTCGACTTCTTTGGGCCTCTGCCATTGACTGCCAAGGGCAACTCTTACATCTTGCTGTTCACCGACCGCTTCAGCCGGAGAGCCGACATGTTCGCTGTCACAGCCGCTGAATTTACGGCCAAGGGAACGGCCAACATCTTCGTCAACCAGTACATGACCAAGTGGGAATGCCCGACTACGCTGTTGCCGGACAACGGACTTCAATTTGTTTCGAAGCT